GCTTAGAGAGGGCTGAAAGCCCTATGAAGCGGTATATAAGTCCACTGCTATTGCTATTGCTATAATTAGCAATATGATAAACATTAAGAATGGTTTAGGAGTTTATCCTTTAGTGTGTGCCTGGAAGTATAATTAACAGCCTAACATAACCTTATTACTTGATCCATAAATATTTTGGAGCAAACTACTATACTAATTGGAATTTGTCCTGATACGATTTTTAGTCCTAGGCTCAGAGATGCAGTTTCCGTAATTTTTTTTTGCCAGAGGGAAGAGACTGATAGAGATGCAAGATAAACATTTTCTGTTCCAGCTGGGAGAGAGAGAGAGAGAGAGAGAGAGAGAGAGAGAGAAAGATAAACATACTGATAGCAGCAAAGGAAAAGAAATGTTTCCATTATAGATAGCACTGAAAATGTGCTATAAGATACTTATTCCTGAAAGATGTTTTCCAAGCTTGTTCTGCTCCTTTATTATCTTTTTCCTTGTTTCTTGCTTAGTCCTGCCACATAGAAATATGAAAATATTCTTAGACTATTTTACAAATGTTAATTTTTGTCAATTAGTAATTAGTTGCTAGATTATATTGAGTATTCAATTTTATTGCTTTAGATACTAAAGTATTATGGATTAGAGTATTTTCATGTTACTTTTTTGAGTGCCTTTAGGTAGAAAAATAGCATCAACATTTATGGTAATAAAATATATGGGAATTTATATCTTTATTTCTGTAAAGTAGATATATTTCAAATACATGCTACTACAATTTATCTTTATTAATACTGGTAATATAATTATCAATCTCAACATAAGAGATTAACCTCACCATTTAAGAAGGCTTGTAGAAGAAATAGGTGTTTTTGCTACAGTTTTTGCTTAATTGAATGTCTGGTTATCTGGCACATGAGTAACTGCACTTAAATTAGGCACAAGAAATAAATTAATTTCCAGTTCTGCGTATTTCCTTGGAGCATTTTTATGTCCATTTCCTTGGAAATTTAGCAGAGTAGCATCTGAATTGTTCAGCTGTTTTTTAAAACAACATGTAACATGGCTATCTGGCATCTGAAGATCAGGAACTTGAATATTTAAGGGAATTTTACCAATGTGGCTTATAGAGACTTTCTTAATTTTTGAAAACAACGTTAAGTAAAGACAGTTGTTCAGCTTGGCCAAACAAATGTACATGCAGATGATTTGAATATTTGAAGAGAAGCTGTTTAGCATGAAGATGAATTAAAGAAGCAGCTTGGGATATTAATGTAGCCTGACTGCATTGAATATGTTTGTGTTCAGATATATCCCATTAGATAAATTAATCACAATAGGCCATTGATTGGACTGAGAAATAAGAGCTGATGGTCCTCCTGGGAACATTGAACCTGAAGATAAATGTGAATCTGTATATCTCTATTCCTAGTCTACCTTAACAACTGCACTGCACTCACTCTGATAGATACAACTCAAAAACTATTAGGAAGATTCATTGTTGGTTTTGAGATATAGCATGCCTGCTAGAAGGCTAAGCATTCCACTACAGGATTTTAAATATACTCCTCCTCCTTTTAGTATTGTTGCAGCATGGTGCTGATCCGAGTATTCGTAATACTGATGGAAGAACAGCACTTGACTTAGCAGATCCATCAGCAAAAGCAGTGCTTACAGGTGGGTGGAATTTTCCATAGTCCATTTCTTCTGGTAATTTTTTTTTTCTTAGCTTGATGGAATTTGAGGATGGTATAGATAGTTACTTGTTGTGACTCAGCAGAAGTTTGCTGTGAGTTGAGTCGGGATGCAGGAATAACAATGCAGCTGGGGCTCATTAGTGTGCTCTTCTGGAGATAAAAGGACTGATGGTGCCACACCCTGGTTGCAGAAGTCAACGTTTTGTGAGAGGCACTTGGATAAGTGATTTGCTTTCTGTAACCCTAATTCGAAGAGACACTTGGATAAGTGATTTGCT